TTCAGTATTTTACCATATCTACGGCGGATGATTTAAAATAGCAAATAAAAAATGCTAATTTATCGGTGGAAATCTTAGCATCCGGTGCACAGGTATCACCCGAGTACGGTCGCGTATATAAATACGTAAAAATTTCCGTAGAAAAAGTGTACCATTGGCATTTGCTTTCTTTTGAAGTCACAGTGTCGGAACCCAGTCTGTCAGTCGGGACGATTGTTCTTTAAGTTACAAACGCGCCTTTGATAAATTCACGCGTAGCACGCGATCTTGAAAGGGTATAACTGAAGGAAATGTCAATAACATCCGGTGAAGACTGTTGAATCCGCGGTAGATAAAATAAAAACGGTATTCCAGTGGAGTGTCAACAGCCGATTTAAAGGCCCCACCATACCTAGTTTCGGTAGTGTAATCTGAGGTGTTTCCCACCTCTACCTGAAGTGTATATTGGTGATGATGATGATGAGTGTGTAATCTTCTGAGCGCAGGACAAGCGGTTTGAGATCAATGCATACGTAAATTGCCTGACTTCTAACTGACTATCACTGCCCAACTGACCCATCCTGTCGGCTCATCAATCTTGATTATAATATCCAAACAGATCAAGAGCTGCAATTCGTCTGAAAAATTCCTGCAAGCGATAGGAACTTATTTAGCTGGCAATGCTACCGGTTGCGCCGACTCATTCAACGACAAATTACCACTCTCTTCGAAGAAACTACTTACCAAAGCCGAAGAGACGCATGCGGATCCCTACCTCATTCTACTGGAAAGGAGAAACGTACCTTTTACCGGGATTGGGATAAGTTTATTTTAGTATCGGTTCGGCCGCGGAACAAGAACGTTATTGTCATCAGCAACCCGAGATACCGTCGGCCCTTATTCCAGGAGATTCTCTAAGTCATAATTTGCTGCGGTGAAATTGTCATTATGTTCGTGGATAGAGACGGCTTCCACCTGTAGCGTTGGGAGAGGAAGTATGGGTGCGACCAATACCTGGAGCTGATAGGGTTTGAAGGGGCGGAGTGCTTGAAGGCCGCAAGGGGGAAACAGTTATGAAGCCAGAGTCGGGGATTACGTCATTCAAAATAGTCCAGTGCAGCTCAGAAGAAGACAGCTCAGACAGCTCGGAAGAAGACGAATATAATCTGCAACATCAGAATCAACAGCTTTAGCGGGACGAGACATTTGTCACTGCAGCCCAAGACTTGAAGGTCACAGGGGACATATGATAACACCAGCGATACAAAAAAACGAAAAAGGAAGCGTACTAGTGGTTGTTGGTCATTTGAACGAATGTGGCCGAGGCTGCGAAGGCCAACAGGAAGCCAATCAGCCACCGCCGATGCAAGCATGCAAGAGCCAGAGATAGAAATGAGAATTGGTTCAGTCTAGAGTGAACAAAGCGCAGTTTTGTCACGAACAAAGGCGAATGGGCCAGTTGGACAATGGGAAATTGGCATGGCGAAGCATGAGTCAAAGGGGACATGGCCGTGGTCAATTAAAAGTGGATTGGACTGAGCAGAGCCTACCCACCATTGAACATAGCCAGACGGTGGAAAAGTGACCGGTGTGAAGCCGTCGTAACTAAATGGCGCCCTCAATTTCCGTACAGTGTAAATAGTGCTTCATCTTACGATTAGCAGATTTTTCTCGTTTCTCATATCTTGGTTTGGTTTCTGGATGGTTACACGACACACAACAAAGGTCGCTGACCTAAGACTGAGGTAATTCCATTCGAGTAATGACCAGTCTAATTCTTAACCGACCACATGGAAGATAATAACAGGAGAAATCCGTTGCTAATTTCAAACTCGCCCCCCCCTTACCCAAATCTCAAACGGTGAATTCATCTCTCCAGCCTCTGAACTGAGTGACTAGATCCTGATCATCAACATACTATCGCGAACCGGAACATCGTAAACGGAAGTGATCTTTCGATGGGAAACAACCATAGGTAGACTGAGAACAACCCAACCTCTAACTTTGCGCACTGAATACTGAGAATAGAGAGCGAGAATATAACAATCTGTGTTGCTCCATCGTAGGTGGATTGGGCACATGCGCGGAATCATGTCGCTGATTCCCGCGCGGTGGAAGCATATTGCAACTGCACTACATCTTATCCGGATGCGATACGCTCCCTATGCCTGTAGTTCGCAAAGTGGGCCTCAAGGACTCTTATATTCCGACACCGATTTCGCCTCGATTAGCGTCTCCGACAATTTGTTCCAATATTTCACCACTCGACGCTCGAAACATAGAGGGTGAGCGATGTGCTTTAAATCCGGTACCACTAGTTTGTTCCGGTATCCGCGTGTTCTGCTTGGTGCGCGAACGTGCAGTAGCGGCCTCAACATAGGGAAGTGGCCCAGGTGCAGTATCCGGTGCGTCATAATGAGGTCAACTCGAAGCCGACGATGTGACAGGGTATACAACCGTAGTCTCCTACATCAATCCTCGTACGACATACCACGTAAACTGGGGATGAGCCGGGTAGCTACATGCTAGACCCGTTCCAGTCTCTGCAACTCACCTATTGTAAACGGGCAATAGGCGGGTGAGCTGTACTCAAGCACCGGTCTTATAAGGGAAGAGACCAGACGAGTGTCTGTCTCTTCAGACCAAGTGAAAAATCTGCGTCTAAGTGCCCAAAGCAGTCGTAGTCCGTTTGCGTACAGTCTGTTCGTGTTGTCGACAGACTTCAGATCACAGCGTGAGATTATGCCGGGATCCATTATGGAACTGGTGGGATGCAGCGGGTGGCCGGCCATGGTGTACGCACGCCCATTGCTACCCGTCTCCAGGCTCATAAAGGAGGGCTGCCGTGTCGACCGGCAGGTCAACTTTGCAGACCACCGGGATAGACAGTCGAGGTCCTGCTGAAGGACGTCACAGTCGCCGTGAGAATCAATAATCCTCCAAATCCTCAGATTATCCGCAAATAATACGCAGGGTGATCGAAGAAGCTGAGGTACTTCGTTGATGTGGATCAGGAATAAATTGGGCCCCAGTGCTGTACCTCGGGGTACGCCGCTACTGTACGCGTACCATTCCGTTAGGTGGTCATCCACCTGTACCCGCCATCTTCTCCCAATAAGGAAGTCACTGATCCACTGTTGCAGTGCGCCGCCAACACCCCGCATCCACAGCTTGTGGTACAGAACCACATGGTTCACTTTATCGAAAGGTTTACTTTAATCAGTGTAGATAACATTCACTGACTTCCCCCAATTCAGCGCTTGCAACCATTCCTGCCACGTTAAAAGCAGGCTGGTGATGCATGAGCGACCCTTCATGAAACCGTGCTGTGCCGGCAGGTGTCTATCGGGTCCGCCACTTTCGGATGGAAGATAGGATAGGCCGTTTGGACAGCAGTCCCTTTCAATCAACTCATTATATGTCCCTTAGATATTTATGATGGGTAATATACCGTACCAGTGGCTTAAAGGTAACTCGGCACTTTGGTGTACAACTGCCGCATATTAAGTTCACAGGCCTGTCCTCTGGTGCCTTCTGATCTTTTCTGTGATCCAAACTGGGACAACAGCTCCGCGAAACTGGTCGAAAGCGCTGTGAAACGGACGACGTTAATGTGCCTAAGTGAGTGATTTATTAGCATAATGACGGGATATTGTTGTTGTTAAGAAGAGAACTGGCTTTGGCAAAAAAACCGAATGGAGATCCGATTTAGAATATGTAACCGGTCACTGGTACATGGATCTTCAATGAATGCGGTGAACTGCAAGTGGACGAGCATCTGTTATATTTTTGATGAAAATGAATTGCCTTACTTTCATCTTGGGACCCAGTAAAGCCAAGGGACTCTGTTTTCATGATCATAACCTTCTGATGGATTTATTAAAAGTTGTAATTGCGGTGACCACGCGCTGCCTACTTTAGCCTATGAAGGTAAAAACGCGATCAATTGATTACACGGCCAGCTTCATTCAGCACTGGAGCTGGATCTGTGTGGGGTGCCAACTAATTACTTAGTATGGTTTGAACTGACTCATAGGAAACGGTAATTAACAGAGAAACGGCTCCAAATTTTGAAAAAGCTACAGCAGTGGTAGTTGATAGCCTCTTCTAGTCACTGGGACTATGAACATCCACAAGCCACTTGCGTCTACAGTAGAGCCTTTGGCAGCTTGCGTTGCACCACCAATCATAACTCCATCTATACGCCTATACTCGTTGTATGCTCAATGCAATATGGTCGGGAGTAACGACTGTTACCGGGAGCAGCCACTCCTCCAGCGAGCATTTGGCTGCTTAACATTATCGGACGTACTCAGTGTCGGAACCGGAAAGTACTCAGTTCTGTGACGGAATTGTTCTTTTGGTCTGTCAATACAAAAAACCGCTCACCCCATTTCCTTCGGCAACGAGCTGAATTTTCGTTGGGTCTTAAAAAGAGGTAGGGGTCTGGGAAGAGTTGTCAATTTGCCGGCATTTGTATCATACGCATTCAAAGCTGACACCTGATGTTGGAGTGAAGGAAAAGCACGCGGCAGCGCGCGTTTATTCGCACAAAGACAGTCCAAGTGAAGCGCGGTGACGCTTCGAACGGGCCATATCGAAACCATTACCGATAATTCTAGGGTACCGCATACATGCTCACAACGAGTACCAGATGCCTGTCGCCCTAGTAATAATAGCCTGCTGACGGTTAGAATGTTTGTGATTCTTTCAAATCATATGGATTGATTTTCCTTTCAATGCAAGTCCAGACAAACTGGTCTTGGATGGTAAAGTCGTATAGGTGATAGCGCTCTCAAACCCCCCTTCAGTAACCCAATGAGATAGGAGGTTACAATAGTTCTTCAGAAGAAAGTACAGATACACTACCTTGGGTGGAGCAACATCTAGCGAACTGCGAAAAGGTGATCGACGCCACTTTGTTCACATGAACTGATGTTATATTTTTTGAACCATGTTAGATCACGGGCACAGCTACCACCTAGGTTGCATAGGACAAGATCATAATTTTGCCAACTAACTTTTTTAATGTCTTGATCACCTGACCCGCCATAAAGGCATCCAACCCGGTGGTCGGCTCATCCAAGAATAATACCGGAGGATCCGTTATCAATTCCATCCCAATGTTGGTTCGTTTTCTTTCGCCACCGGAAACGCCACGAATAAGGTCGGTGCCGATCTGCAGATAACGGGACATTGGAATACGGAGTCAGGTTTCACACCTGGTCAAGCGTAAATAGTTTTTAGAAGTAAAGCAGTCGAACTTACCCCTGTGATCTACACAACTGATTGTACGGTTTTAGCCGATGTGATAACGATGATCGACGGGTGATTCTCTTTAATGAATTAAGAGCTACGAATTAGCAAAATTGTATCAGCTATGTAATTGTTTCAAAAAAGGAATCCTAAGGTATTGGGTTACGGGTGAAAGCAGCTTTTCTACGTAGTGAACATGATAGGTTACGCACTATCAGTGCCTATGGTGTCAAGATATAGAATTTAATATAAATGGTCCAAAATCCCCGGCTATTGGGCCAATCCTCCATGCTGAAAGAGTTGGTCCTTCAAGGATAAGCGATTTATTGAATAAAAAGTCATCAAAGTGGCGACAAGCCTGTCTTACAGAATGGGTTGATGTATGCGATTCGTTCGCTTCTGTAAACAACGATGTTGTGGTCGGTGAGGTTTCTCTTTTGACTCACACAAGCGACAAGGGACTCACCATGGTGCACGTGCACTCCAGCCCTTCAGCGGAGCCACGTAGACAGACGACTATGCTTGCTGCGTCTAATGACCGCTTCCAACAGGTTCGCCTCCCGTTGACTATCTTCCTTGTTCTTTGAATCCATCTGTCCATTCCGACTGGACACTCTTTACACAGGATACGGCCAATATTTTATGGCTTGGATCAACTGATCACTAATCGAACTCAATAGTGTTTTGCGTCTCATACCTAGCTTGAAATGCGCAAAACCTCGCCAGTGGGGCGATTCAGTGCGAATAGTTGGGACGGATGTTAGGTCGCAGTTCCTCATCGCTGACAAGAGCAAGTCAATCAAAACTGATTAATCTACTCACCCATCCTCAGCGAAACTAATACACTAGTTCGATATTTGCACTGATATACTCCGTCGGAATAACACTCCTGTGCACAGGTCAGTCATTCTGATCGACGTCAACCCTCAGCTGAAGGATACGAGTTAGCCACGACGTTTGCTTCCAAGCTGCACGACTATTACGGTTGTCGAATTCTGCCATCAGGACTCATAATGTAGCCTATGAGACTGCTGAGATGAGACAACTCTCCTGTACCCGTAAGACGCTCACGGATACGACCATTCAATTAAGTAAATAAATTTATCAATTCATCATGGCTACTTGCTTGTTTGGCCAAGTATAGCTTCGATAAAGAGGCCCTTGGATACTTCATGACACCCCAAACTACCTCAACAATGCTTTTACAGAGCGCTATGTCGAGCCTTGTTCGACGTGACGTAGGGTTTGCTGTGTTCCTGTGTTAAGTGGCACATTGCGAACGGGTAAGCTGGATGTAAACGGACAGATACGGGTAAACCAAGCTACTACTGATATTGGCGTAGCACAAGAAGATTTCACATCTAAAGAAAACACTTGTAATTCATAGAAAGTAGGAGTCACGATTAAACTGCGCACAATAATCTGCCTCGACGGGGAATCGAACCGCGGTCCCACGAATTTCCGGTCCGCTGCTCTACCGGAGAGACAACGGAAGTAAGTAGTGTTTACCTAGGTAGGGCCTGACGCACCTCATGGACGTTTGTTTTCTCAATAAACATCCTTTCCGCACCGCTCGGGTTTCTGCAAAGCCAAGTACATTATGGGGAATGGTAGTCGGTCCTAAGGTAGCCGTAGTTCCCGTTCGCGCTCCCCTCGGTCTCATCCTTTCCGATTTCCATCGAATATGTGTAGACAGAGGTACCTTACATACAGTGCAATCCACTAATTATCCCCATTTACAAGACGAAAAGAAAAATTAGGCCATTTCAGATCAATTGATCTGTTATTCATTGGGGTGTTTACGGTATATTTGCGGTCGATTCCCAGTGAATGATAAACATGCTCTTGAATGAACGATAAACCATGTGGCAACCGGCCAAAAACTACCCCATTAAGAGACAGTTGTCGCAGGACACGGCCAACGATCAAGGCCAGTCCAGTGAGATGGTCGATTTCAGCACACTGAATTGATTTTAAAACGGCATCCGATTGTCGTACTAAGCCATACCACTGAGGGTAGAATACAATTCACTAAGTTCTCGTTACACTTCGCAAACAACCGGTTGCACGTTGGAACACTTTGTTAGTTGTGCTTGTGTAAACCATGAGAGTTCCAAATTAAGCCATTTGTCGGTGTTGCGAAACCTGCATAGCTCCACGAAACTTGCGCAGAGCTCGCCTCCTGAATACTGTGGCTACGCGGCGACTCAAATTGCCCAGGGAACAGCTGAACTCTCATCATTGAATCTGCCTTTATGTGTTAATGCAATTTACATAAACTCGGTGAGCTCTCCTCAGAACTCTGATGTAGCTACCTCCTCAGTCCACACTGACCTGCACTGTTTTTCTCAGGAAAGTACTACGTGCTTTACCAAGCTCCAACTCCCTCTAAAGATGTGGTATTACGCTGTCGTGCTATCGTGCTATAAATACGAAGGTGTAGAAGGCGTGTCCACCTTAGCCAAAAGCAAATTCTTGCTATTGACCAGTTTTTATTTTTGGGTCGCGGGTGTAATCGTACGAGGTTACGTGCCTCATCACAGCTCGCGAGCATCTGGCGTTTACGCCTCTTAGGCCGTATCGATCCGAATTCAATTGGCTACTATGCTCTTGGGGCACTATCGGTGAAAAGCGCTTCGTCCGTTTATACTAATCGGTTAAGTGTAGCGCTATAAATCCTAAAACCAGTAAATTATTACAGCGCAACGTGTATGCGCACGTGAGTAGCCGGTTCTACACTTGGTGTCAATCAGGGTGGACCGATCTCTTTGAAGTGGACCAAAACAAAACTCTGTCAGTAAGAGTTTTTCATGAGTAGAATCGATCAGTAGTCGAACAACTGATCAACAATCCGCAAAAGCAGAAAATCTAGATCATGATTAGCAACGCAGCACATAGGGAGATAAAAAAACGTCTTCCGTAGTATCAGTTAATCATCAGCTGTTAGGCTGGGGGAAACACGGTATGCGGTCTCACTCATGCATCCACACCGACCACGAAATGAAAACTTAAGTGGCATTATGTGAGGTCCATCGCAACCAGTTTCCAAACCAGATGGTGGTCCACATGCCCGGAAAAGCACTAGATGCAGTTTCAGCCTGTTGGGCATCGTCAGTAGGGCGCATCCATCGGATCCGTCAGGATTCGAACCCATGACCACCAGCGGCTTGAACCGCCAGTCAGCAGCTTATGCCACTGGGCCACGGGGGACAGCTTCGGACCGTCATGATTTACAAGCTAACTGCGATATAGCGCTACTGTTAGTGGACGTCGTGTCTTTCGGGGCCAACCCTGTCCTCTGCAACGTTCGTAACTTGCATGGCAGTGGAGGATAAGACGCGCTATATCGCAGTTAGCTTGTAAATCATGACGGTCCGAAGCTGTCCCCCCGTGGCCCAGTGGCATAAGCTGCTGACTGGCGGTTCAAGCCGCTGGTGGTCATGGGTTCGAATCCTGACGGATCCGATGGATGCGCCCTACTGACGATGCCCAACAGGCTGAAACTGCAGTCTAGTGCTTTTCCGGGCATGTGGACCACTATCTGATTTGGAAACTGGCTGCGATGGACCTCACATAATTACATCAAAATCCCCCACTCATAAGTACATTAAGTGGCATTAGTTTACTTCATTGAAGGCCAAGTGCGCTCCTGTTAAACATATTGAAACATCAACAGTTCGGCTAGGCTGATTACTTATTGGTCTCCTCACCGAGATTGGCTGAAAAGGTTGCCCCAACAACCGAAGGCAGATCATCAGTGCCTATTTGTGTCTGGGGTTCCATTCCGAGAACAGATACAAAGAAACTTCAAAAACATGGGTCGCCAGCTACTAGTCCGACTTTCATATATGCTCATGGAACAATTAGTTGTGCTTCATCCTGGTCGAACGCACTTTGTTGTTCCCAATGGGACTTTCCTTATGGTTGTTGACTGCGAGAAGCTTATTGTGACGTGAAAGAGATAATCGAACTTTCATCGGTTCAATAATTGCATAGTCTGCATGATATGTCCACACTAACTGCACCGTTCGTGTTTTCAGCATTGGAATGTTTCATTTTAAACGGTGGGTTTGAATCAGCTCAATTCCGTATTGCATTAATGATCGGTATACATAGTCGGCGTCGACACACATACTCGTCGAATTCTTCGTAAGGAACCGAGCTGCTGATGTAGTCTTCCTCGATTTCTCAAAGAAGTTCCACGGGTTAGATCATAACGTTCTACTCTTCAAACTCCGGACTTTTGGTATTGGTGATCCTATCCTTGAATGTATCAGAAGCTTTCTTCTACACCGGCGCCTGGAACTACAAGTGCGTTAATCGCTATCAGATCCAATCCGAGTTGAATGCCGAGTACCACAGGGATCAGTACTAGGACCGCGGTTATTTTTGACGTATATTAACGATATCACACGCTTATAAGCTAGCTGGCTAGCCGAACAACCTTCTCGAGGTGCCAACTTGGTGGTTCGGGTTTACCACGTTCCAGCAAATAGTTCAGCGGCAGTGTTGCAGGACGTGGTGGGTTTTTGCCTGGCAAGCGTTCTCCCTATAAAAAGCCACAAATGTCTGCTTAACAACAATGTGACGTGGCGGTTGCGACTCGCCACCAACTAAAGTCACCCCTTGCTTATCCGGACAACCGCTTTAAGTCCACAAACATCGAGCATCCCTTTGACACTGGCGACACAATCAAAAGTGTAAGAAAGCATTTACAAATCCCATAACCACGGCGACACACGTCACATGGTTGGCGGTATCCCGTTTCGCATTTGCCTTTCACTGTGGCCAGCCACAGGCCGCCTGCGCCTATAGAGAGATCATGGATGGCTTGCGCTGCACCACCCACAGCTCCAACCACACACCGCATATCCAGTGTAAACCCGAAGGAATAAGACCGGAAGGCATGTGGATCGGAGCTAC